CTCGGTTACTATCCCCTGGTTTTTGATTGTGATTGTTACATATTAAATAAAAGATTGGTAAAATAAAATAGGTGTATTCTGAATTGAATCCTAAATAACAATGATTGTAAACAAAAACAAAGTTAACTTATTAAACATAACATATGGTATTTTGTTAAACATACAGTATGTTAGAAAAGACACATCAATTTTCCCCCTTTAAAGTCTTGATCGCAGCATTTGATCTACATGTCGTCTGCATGTTACTCCGTTCTCCAGTTCAACGTTGTAATGTAGATTTCCATAGATCAAATGCTGCGGTCAAGACTTTAAAGGGGGAAAATTGATGTGTCTTTTCTAACATACTGTATGTAAAAATACCATATGTTATGTTTAATAAGTTTACTACAAGGGTCAGACAAAATGGAGTTTCGGAAAAGTTACATCAAGAGATGGAAATCTACATTACAACGTTGAACTGGAGAACGGAGTAACATGCAGACGACATGTAGATCAAATGCTGCGATCAAGACTTTAAAGGGGGAAAATTGATGTGTCTTTTCTAACATACTGTATGTTTAACAAAATAACATATGTTATGTTTAATAAGTTAACTTTGTTAAACATAACATATGGTATTTTGTTAAACATACAGAGTATGTTAGAAAAGACACATCAGTGATCATAGCTGTTTTTATTTCCATAATTATTTTGGAAATGATCCCTCCTATTTTCATTTTCCTTTTCAAAATAGTGTCTGTCCCCTGATGGCCTGTGATTAAATGAACCTCGTTGATCCATGTTTCTTCCTGATGGTCTGTGACTGTATGAACTTCTTCGTTCTACATTCCTTTCTGCCTCGTTCCGTATAGATTCGTTAATTTCTATCGTATCTTCTCTACTTAACAGTTCCTCCATTTGATGTATTGAAACTATGTTTTGCACTCTGGAGGCCTGTTGAATTGTTTCGTCAAAATGTCGAACAAGGCGACGAACTATTTCCCTCTCTGTGAATTTTGGTGTCATATTTTGCAACAGTATTACTCTGTCGATGAAATACTCTGTTCTTGTCAGTCCCCTCCTTGGTATGTATTTTTCTAAGTCTAATTTAGTTTTAATCCCATCTTGAATCTCCTCATTCCAATATTTGTTCATAAAATATTTTTCAAAGTCTTCAATATCGTGTACTGAAGTCCTAACTAGATCCCACCATCGTGCTGCAGTTCCTTCCAAGCATATATCTAAGATTTCTTCTAAATTCAGTGATTGTTCATCCTGTGAAAGCCTTCGTTCATTTTCCCTGTTATAATAGTTTTTCAGCCTAGAAAGGAATTGATTTGGGTTTTTTGATTTTCCATTGAATTTTGGTAAGTCTTTAGCTATGGTGCTAGGACATGTGATATGTAGGCCTACTGGTTTCCCACTATTCCCAGCTTTTAACTTTGCCTCAAATTCCTTATTGATTCTTTCCTGATTCTCTTGAATCATTGCGATTCTTTCCTCAATATGGTTGTGTACTTCTTCCCTTAATTCTGTTATTTTTGTATCAAATTTGGATTCGATTTGTCTTATTTCGATGGTCAGATCCTTCCGAACTTTTTCTATTTTTTGTTTAGTTTGTTTAAATTGTGACAATACTTGTTCTTTAAACTCTTCAAGTGTCTGTAATATAGGCCTAATTATTGTTTGGTCCATGTTTGTGTGCTGTGTTCTACTGGGACTTGTTACATTACTATGATTTAGATTGTCGCCAGACGCTAAATTTTGATTGTCGATACTGTATAAGTCATCTCCGGGATTGTCATTATTAGGGTTTAATAATTCTTCCATATTGATTTCGTCTAATTGCCGGCTCATATTTAAGTGTGCTTCTTGTGCTCTAAGTGTAGGTGTTATATATTTTCGTAAATTATATCTCTGCATTAAATAATCTATAGCCGTGATAAAATCAAGCCACCTAGTTGGGTGCCAATTTGTAACGTCTCAATGACTTAAATCTGAATTTCATTTAATTGTATTTATTTTATTTTGTATTTTTATCAAAGTTTCTCAGGGATGGGTTCTTTGCCACGTGACTGATTTTATCCTAACTGCAGAATGTGTGAAATGTGAGATATAATGTTAAGTTATACAGAGCCACTATGTGTAAGTGTTATTTGGTCGCAGCACTCTTAAAATAAGGTGCCAGACAACTACCAAATATGCGTGCTTGTTTAGTGTTAAGCCGCAGCACCAGCGGTCAGCCGGGGCCTGACAAATGCTTTGTATGGAGTTAAATTGTTTAGTGCCACTACTTGTAAGTGTTATTTCGGTCGCAGCACTCTTTAAAAAGGTGCCAGACAACTACCGAATGTGCGTGAGTGTCAGTGTTGAGTGTTAAAGCCGCAGCACCAGCGGTCTGCCGGGGCCTGACAAATGCTTTGTGTGTAGGCCTATTCTAATTTCTATCCTACTTACTTGTCTAATTCAAATTACCTTATTAATATTTCAAATGAGTACACAATTGGGACTGACCTTATTCTTTGTTTTTATTTTCTTTCACAAATACAAATTTGATTACTATTAATTATTGTTTTATTTGCGCCTGGCAAATGGTTTACACCCGCAGCGCTGACTGTCAACTCGTGAAGTGAAGACTGGTCCGTGGACTGCTGTATTTATACCCGATTTGGTTGCTATGGTGACCATGGAATGTTCTAGAACTTTAAACCCAGATGTTTCCACCAAAAGTTATCTTCCTTTTCCGGCAGCCTGACGTCATCGCTGCCCGCTTGATCGTCGTTGATCCGACAGCTGCTGTCGGCTGGAGCTCGAGCTGTCAGAGAAGCTATTGTAGACTAATAAACAAACATTCAAACAAATGTAATACTGTAAATAAATATGTTTTAATTATTTAGTTAGTTGTTATATTTACATGTCTATCCCTTTATGTGTTAAATAAAATAGTAATGTATATTTATAACTGTAATTGTGTTGCTGAAATATTTTCAATGGATAACCTAACCTAAATACGGTAAGTGGGTAAGCTAACCTAGGTACGGTAATTGGGTAGAAATATTATTGGTTACACCTATTTACAAAACAAACTATTAGAAACATTATTACATTAGTAATTTAATAAACATTAAGAAATATTTAAACTATGAAAAATGCGAGATAGGCCTACTTTTATTACAATTGATCTAACGAAAACCTAACCTAGCCTAGGCATAACATAGCCTAAAACGGTTACCGGTAAGTTAAATTGAAACATTACAGTAGTTTTGGTTGGATAAGTCCACCGTCAATCGTTTCAAAAATACGAAACGATTGGAAATAGAGTGACTCAACACTCAACTCAACAGTCAACCATTTCAAAAATAGGGCCGCTGGAACGAACTCAATGGGCTCACTGCACTGGTGTAATAAATACAAATTTTTCTACAGTCGCCCAACAAAGTTGGCTTCCTTGTACTGATTATAGTACAGAAAGCTGCTAATTGCTGTATTTACTTACTTTATTACACCATTTTTATACTTTGGTGCACACCAGTATTCCAGTATTCCATCCAACCATACAACACAAAAAGCGTCGTTTTATTATGCACGTAATCCGTGTACCGCGTGTACCCTTGGAAGTCCGCACGAGTGAGTACTACGACTATCTGCAGTACTATCCTGATATAGACCAAATCGTATATACCAAGGAAAATGTGGTTTGGATTCCACTATAAACTGTAGGTCACTATGTATGGTCGCCATTTCATTGAACAGTATTAACAGTAGGTTGGCAATACTTAAAGATTCTACTACTATGATCAGCTGATTGACTTCTGACACTACGTGTTTATATTATATTTTCGATTTTCGTTCAACGTTTTGGTTTGAACATAACCAAAAGTGTAGTATTTGAAAGAATAATTATAAGTGGGCCTAACATGTTTGAAAATAATTAACTCAGTGAAAGTTATTGTGAATACCATGTGTACACCAGAAGAAATAGTAGAAACTGCAAAACATGTTTCATAAACCTATTACCTGAAAAATTACGAAAGAAGTATGAACGAGCATACGAACTGTTTTCTGCTTCTTGGTGAGTAATGTAAGAAAGTTAAAAAAATGTCAGTATAGTAGGCTAAATTATAAGTTATAAAAAAAACACCTGATTACATACATGTTTATTCTGTTTATACGTGTACTCTCTTGAGAATAAATAGCACTTAAAGATACTACGACTACAACAATCAGCTGGTGCGCAGTGTTTCCCATTGGGAGCGTTTCATAAGGTCCAAATTTCATAAAGTCCAACGTTTTTAAAATATTAAATAAACAGGGCGTTTCACAAGGCCCAAATTTCATAAAGTCCAGAACTATAACATTCAAATAATCACCGTTTCATGATGTCCAAATTTCACAAAGTCCAACGTTAACATATCAAATAAACAGAGCGTTTCACAAGGTCCAACGGTACAGTCTGGGCCAGAAGTCTCTACAGTGGTTGCCACAGTCAGATAGCAGGCACCGTCCGCCGGCGCTCAACTACTGATTACTGACGTGCATTTAATGATTGGAGAACACTTATCTGTGTGACTGAACTATGTGTTAACACATTAATGTGCAAATCAAATTTACATTTTTATATTTTTAATAGCTTTAATTCATGCTTTCAGCTGAGTTTCTTAACTGTTCCGTCTCTCAATTAAAAAACCATTACAAATATCGGAAGAGATCATTTTACCGATGACAAATTTTAAAACGTATTGTTTTATAAGTATATTTTCTAATTCGTATTATCATAGATTATCCTTTAATCTATGGTGTTATTTAAGTTCGAATCATACAGTTAGTAAATTGTTGAATTCCGTGTTTTGTTAAGTGTTACGTGTGCTCTATGGAATTCAATTTAGCTCCAGCTCCAGCTGTATTAAAGAAAAAGTTGCCTCGACTGTCAGCGTCAGCTGCTACTGCTTACACAAAACAGAAAACACAGCAGACGGCAGATTGTGTGTTTTTAGTCTACAATACTTTGATGTGGTTGTTGAGTTGTATCAGTTTTTGTCATTAATATGGGTAATACTGATACGAAATTGAACTTTAGAAAAGCAGTTGTCCAACTAACGTCCAAAACCCAGGTATATGAATTTAATTTGGGCGGTAAAAGTTAGTCCTGAAACTTAAAAACAAATACTAGATTTGACTAAAGTTACTCAACCCTCTTTCTCTTTATTTATTTCTTTACAGATTTTTTAGTTAATCAATATTATGTAGCCGGCTTGTTTCTTATTTTTTACACATAAATAATACTAGTTTAAGCTTTTTGAAACTGTCCGTCTATTCTTATATTTTAGCTTATACTTTTTGGAAATGAAAGGCATTGAGTGAAGGCATATGTTAGCTTGTAAGTTAGGTTTATTTACTTTTTTTTAACTTTTCACATTTGATTTGAAATAAGACAAAAGCCAAAATTTGACTTTACTAGAAATTGGACATATTATCAGTCGCAACATCCAAGTTCTGACCCTCTAAACGCACATTTTTAACAGATTCATATACGTACAGTATAGGCCTATCTAAACGCTATCTATAGGCCTACATATCCAAACGCCCATTGTAAACGTATCTAGAGAAACACCTTAGCATCATCTTAAAAGCTAGAGTTTGATTAAAGGTTATATTTATGACTTTTTGAACTTTTTGTGATGGATCTCAAGCCTTTTTGAATTAAAAATGCAAATATAGAAGAAACATCATACTGTAGGCCTACTCAACATATTTTTATTAATTATTTATATGTATAAATCCTATACTTTGAAACCTATTTAAGTTATGTTGGTATGTTTTATCTATGGTAATATCAACAGCAGGTCCTGGCAAAGGCAGGTGATCTTAGGCAGTAACACAGATAAAGGTCATTTGGTTTGAAATAAACAAAAAGTTGGGTGAAGCTGCCTTAAAATAATTCAATTTAGGGCTTAACTTAATTAGGTATTTATAATTAGTTTTTAAAAGTAGGCCTAACTTAATGGAAATGTGTAAACCGTTCTCTGTTTTATCAAAAAAATAACCCCTGATCATTTTCTTGAAAGAAAAAATGTGTAAGTTAGGCTTACCCAAAAATGTAGGGTAGAATAATTTCTTGTTAGCTAGTCTTGCGTATGTTGTCAGCTACGGTATTTATTTATTAATCTTTAAAAGGCCCTACTAAGAATAAAGGTATTACAAATCTAAATATTGATTTGTAATTATAATAACTTGGGTAGCCTACTATAGGATTTTCATTTTATTTTAAAATATTATTGGTTGAGAAATCAAAATGTTGTTTATTAAAAAAAACATCATTACTTAATAATTTTAATACCAACTTATTACATCGTAAAACTTAGGACATAAAGGAGTAAGTTTCATCAAGATCTTTTTCACACTGATCACCATTAATTTCAGCCCATTGATGCATCAGATGATAGCTTCTGGGATCAGTTTTGGTCAGAAAACGTTACAAATGTTCAAGATGTATTTACTCTAGTGCCTGCTCCAGAAATACGAGCTTTACGTGAAGAAGCACCTTCCAACTTAGCTACACTTTGTTATAAGGCTGTTGAAAAATTGGTTAAAGCTGTGGATAGTAGTTGTAGAACCCAACATGAACAACAAACTGGTAAGCATTAATAATTTTAATCTACTATATACTCCTCTATACTTATATATACTCTACTAAATTAACAAGCTAAGTGAATTTAGAACTATGATATCAACCATAGAACATTGATGGTTGATATACTTGGCTATTTAGTATAGAGTGTAATAGGGGTTGAGATTTTGTCTCACTTTCTTTAATAAACTACATTTTGTTAGATAAGCGTTTTACAGCTCAAGGACAGCAAAACAACTAGACTTCCTAATTATTTAATATATAACTTAGGCTCTTTGAAATTTTTACATAATGCACAGAGAAGTAAGGCACCTACCGTACAGAGGAAACATTCAATCATGGTAGGCCCTACACTTAAATGGTGTCTAGACCTATATCTATCCTATACCTAGTGGATAGACCTATATCTTTTATCAATAACCTGACACCATTATGATGTCCGAAATAACGGTCCAAATCAGTTTGTTATATCACTGGTCTAATGATGTCATCAACAATCAGATTGTAGCCCCTAAACTCCAAAACACCATAGGTAGGCCTACTTCAGAGAAACATGCTTAGAACTTTGTTATGAAATGCAATTGTAATTTCCTGTCAAAAGCTGAGTACAGGGTACAACCTATATTCTCCTCCACCTGGTGTCAGTTCAACAGGAGCTACAATACTTGTCATCTAGAGACTTGTAACAAAAGACATGATTTTTCCACACGTTCTTATCGGCTAAGTATTGTGACAATTTTGCATCTATAGCCTATTGATGGAAACCGTCTACAATAGAAGTGAGGAAAGTATACATAAAACGGCACTGTTGGTTCTTTAACTGACATCTCCACAGTCCTCTGTAGCGCAGAAAGGTGTTAAATTATATTTCAATATGATCCTCATTCAATAACTTATCCTCAATTTCCTGTTAGCCTATCAAGATATGTATAGCTAATATAGTGTAACAAAATGCAGCATTTTCGGGCATAATCTGCTAACTAACGACTGCTACACATTTTTCAGTACTTAACTGTGCCCGGCTGCTCACAAGAGTTTTGCCTTACATCTTTGAAGACCCGGAGTGGAGAGGTTTCTTCTGGTCTAGCCTTCCTGATCAATCTCAAGGGGAAGACAAGGAAGAGTCAATGCCACTGGCTCACTCTCTACTTAATGCGATTTGTGTAAGTTTTACATTTCAACTAAGAATAATTTGTTTTGTGAACATTGATGGTTGATATACTTGGCTATTTAGTATTTTTTCCTGAGGTATTTCCTCTTACTTTCTCCCCCTACACACAGTATATGGAGAAAATATTGTTTTTGTCTAAATTTTTGAGTTTGAGTTTTGAGTGGATATAAGCGTTTTGTTTTGGGTCCCCCTGAACCCAAAATGGTGGTTTAAAAAAAAAACCTGAATACCTTAGGAAAAAGTTGGTATTTAGACATGAAATAAGTGAACTCAGTACTCGACAGGACAGCCTGTTGCACTTGCCAAGGACAAAACTGGAAACGGGGAAGAAGGGGTTTAGATTCTTTGGCCCAAAAAAGTACAATGCTTTGCCACCCACTTAAAAAGAGTACAGTTGTAATAGGTTTAAGACATGTGTAAAGGAAATGTTTACCTAAACTGTATAGATAATTTTATTTTTTATTTTATGAATAGACTATTGTATTGTTTTATTTACTTAATTTGACAAAAGTTGTCATGAAAAACAGAGTTTGTACTTTGATGAACGCTTGCAAATAAAGACCTTATTTATATATTTATTTATTTATTTTATAGTAAGGTTGTACCTAATCCATAGAACCTCCAGGCCATTTCATTTTTTCAAAATTTAAATTTTTAATTGTGATTTTTTTCCCATAAACACCTATAAAGTAACGGGAAAGTCTGATTTTCTCAAAAAGGGCGGGACGATTTTGATATAGGAGAAAAGCCGGGTTTGATTAAAATAATGTGTTATGGTCCTTATAATTCCAAACAAAATAGTGCAACCCCCCATTGCTGTAACAATTACGGTTCAAAAGTTATTGCAACTTTTGTGATTTTTCTATATCAAATATCATAGAACTCCCACAGCTTACCCATGATAAAGGTTGTTGACAAACTTGGGAGAAAGTATATGTTAGATTGCTGATACCGTTTATATTAATTTGATTTGGTCAAACAACTATTCAACTATTGTAATAAAATATTTATAGTTCAGTGAAAAGGATGTTTTTAGTGTTAAGCCTCATAATTGAATTATCTATACAGTAGTATTTTCAATATCTGCCTTTTAGTTCTTAATGTTAAGAGGCGGTCGGACAGAGATTCTCGGCTGCCGACACTGGCCGTCACTTTAACATGGAGCGCATTTAATAATTCCTCGTTTTCTGGTCTATCCGTGTTCCAAAAATTATTTCCCACACTCAAAACATTGTAAATGTATGTAGGATTAAGACTGTACAATATAAAAATCATAATGTTTAATTATAAGCCGGATATAAAATAAATAATTTCTTACATTTCCCATAAGGAATTGCAATACTTTCTGCTAAAATATAAAATGACTGGCACTATAAACAATTCTAGTTCAAACGCCATATTGAAGAGCATATATTCATTAGTGTATTGAGTGTGACAGATTTATTTTTCGATGGTTAACATTAAGTTTTGTATTTTTTTGTAAAAGCTTGCAAAAAATCCTCGCTTGCCGACTGAGTACTAGTTCGACGATGTCCCGGCCGATGGCAGCACAGTCGATTGTGGACTACAGAGCACGTTTTCAAACCGCGCCAAATAAAATTCATTTAAACTGGCCACAGATCTGTTTAAATAAATAAATAACGTTATGTCGTTACATCCCTGATGTATTATAATGCCAAGGAAATGATGATATTTAATTCACAGGAATCTAAGAATCTAATATTTTCGGACTGTGTATTTACCGTATGTATTAAAATATTACTGTCATCAGAGATAAAAGTAGTTCTACAACACCCGGTTTGATACAAACTATTCATCAATATAAAACAAGTTCTGTTAGAATAAACGTCTCTTTTGGTCATACTTAGTACGTTGATTAAGGACTTAGCTGTATAAAGATAGCTGCTGCAATTTACACAATTTGATACAAACTATTTGTCAGTAAGAAAACAAGGTCCAGTGGAACAAAAGCATTTTCTGACATACGTGGTATATACGATTAAGGTCTTCCAGGAACCAAATCCACCCTCCGGACCAGCACTGCGTCGTAGCCAAGCCGGCTTCTGACTCATGGATTATCTTGGAATTGCGATGTCCCGTTTTAGGTCTATAATATTTGAGCTAAGATAAAACCCCAAGTGCCCATCCGAAATCCTTTTTATATATTAGAGGCACAGGATAAGGCAAAATCTAGAAAAAACAGCCAGAGCCAGATTGCAACTTCAAATGGCTTTGAAACGTAAAAATACGACACATAGGACCTACTGTTTTTATTTTTTTATATTTAAATCCTTCCATCTATCTATAGAAATAAAATACAGTTTTGTCTGTAGGCCTACATTGCTTAGAATCATGCAGTTTCTGGTTATATTATGTTTCATAGCCTAAGAAAGCCGAAACGAGTCTTATCTCAATTTCTGTCTGTCTGTCCATTCTTTCATTCTGTCAGTGACGCCAAAATGTCATTTTACGCGGCCTACTCCTAGAAAACTAGAATACCTTTTCTGTATTTACTGGATTAGTGAGTTTCTTTGGCTATAAAAACATGGCCCCGCTTCTTTGAAAACAAAATAACGAACCATCAAAAACCCAATTTTGTTCGATTTTTGTCAAATTTTCTTCCAATGTTTACTATTAAATTTTATGAAATAACGATCAGCTATTTGGATTAGTTCTCACTTCTAGCTGTAACATATGATATGTTTACATTAAATACTGTTTACAAATACCGCAACCATTTCCGATCAAGTTTTGTAAGCACATCCAAACCAAGTGGGATTAAAAACGTTGTGCCGTACTTAGCCGGTTTAATTAATTGCAAGTGCAACGATTGTTCTTGAGTTTTGATAACCGGGGAAAAGACCGTGAATCAGTGTTGTATAGTGCTCAGTGCTGGGAAACTTGCATGTTTTAATCATCTTCACCATAACATAAAAAAAGTTTCCACTCATTGCGCTTCAAGGACAGTTGTGTTAAAGTGCAAAGTAAAAAATCACAACTGCAGTGGGTGATCGTGGATGTTGCTACGATCTTGGAAGATCTTTCTGATTTCGCTGTGATCGTAACAGAGGTTGAACTTACAGATGTAGCTAAACTCGCTTTTCCTATGTGTCACTTTTGGTTCCTACTTACCTCTTTGTGCTGCAATCGTTGGACCATACCGCAAATCTTGGCCTATAGCCCATCTCTTGGGTAGGCCCTACGTAGACCTAATTATTCACAACCACATTTCGACAACGATATCGGTACTTTTCCCTAGAATACATAGCCTTCCTACTTAGGAAGTAAAACTACAAAGGTCCAAAACCCCAGATTAGTGCGTTTTTTGTCACATTTCCTCTGAATGTTTTTGCTAGATATACCTATCATCGTTGAGAGATTACGTAATCTTTCAAATAAGAACCCTTTGTTTGGATAAAGGTTTTTTCTTCAAACTGTCATTAATATGTTAACATTAAAATCTGCTTACAAATAATGCTATAATGGGAAATAACTTTGATTTTCGAAAAAAAAATCCAAAACCAAGGGAGATTAATAACTTCGATACTGTTTGAATAGGTTTGAATAGGCGAAACATGTTGTGAGTTCTACTTACTACAATTGAACTGTTGACGTAAAGGTGCGTACCTCATATTAGTCTAATTAAACAGTTCAGGGGCAACATCATGAATTTTAATTTTACTTCGATACTGATACCAAGATACCACATCAAGTGAAAGATTTTTTGGGCAAACCATAATGAATTTTTAAAGTTAACGTATCAATGTTTTGTGGACTGTGCATTTATTTACTTATTTATATATTTGCCAACGGATTTACACCAATTTTACAGTTTGATTAGGATTAGGCCTAAATACGATTATCATAAAATTTGATCACAACTTTTAAATAAATAATTTTGTTTGTAATTTGCTTTGGTTAACGCGTAGCAAATCTCCAAATTCAATTCTGTATTTTTTGTGAGTATGTCTGTTGATAACGCATTAATGTCCTTAATTCTCAGTGTTTCGTGGAAAAGACAAGAGCACCTTTGTAAAAGAAAATTTCAACCTGAATAAAGTGTGCAGTAGTGAGATTGATGTAGTATTTTAACTATTTTAAACCAGTGTGAAAGGTAAATTTCAATTACAGGCCTACGTTAGGGCTATGCCTCATAGATCTAAAAGAAATTCCTTCTATCAATAGATATAAAATATGGACTAAGACGATCGGGTGACATTATATTGCGAAGCATTTGTATATTCAGTCTTTTGTAAACATTCAGTATTTTTCATAGGTATTTTATTGTAGTTTAATTAGGGACAATATTTGTAATTTTTTTATATAGGTTCGAGCATATACTTTAAAGGTTTTATTTATACATTAAGTATTATATATTTTTTTAACGTTTAACATTTATTTTTACGTGATTTAATGTTTGTAGTTTGTGTACATATACCTTTTTATTTTTTACGGTCTACTAAACTGTGAATTTTCTTTGTAACCAATAATTTTACAAAAACACTTTGATATACTGAATTATTTTGTTTTTTTAAGCTCTTTAAATAGGCCTGGAGAGAAATTGGGAAATTTTCTGTTTAGAGGGTCAAAAATTAGAAAAACCAATTTTTACCCCATAAAACCACGTTCCCATGGTCCGATCATGCTGGTTTGCGAACTCATTCAAGTTTATCCCGCCTCCCGCCTTACACCTTCAAACCAAATTTCTTCAAAATCGGACAAAAATTACTCAAGTTATCGTGTTCACGGACACACATATATATAAAAATTTGAACGAATGGTGTTTTTGGCCTCTGGGGACATCAAAATGAAAAAGTAAATCGGTCCCGGGCGTAGGTCTTACCATGCCACTTACGGTAATAGCTACCTCATTATAGGGAAATCGCTAAAATGTATGGGATAGGCCAAGTAGTTACATTATTGAGCCCAGTAGCACTAGTATATTATTTATAATTGATAATACATTATCATGTATTTTTATATTGAAATTAAGTGTATAAATCAAAATGTCTTACTGAAAGTGTTATTTGTATGTCCAAAACTTTTTTGTGTGGAAAATTAGCATATTGTGCGGTGACGATCTGAGACCTGCTGAGACGCAAAGGGTGGGTGAGTGAAGGTAGCAAACCAGTGAAAGTGAAACATCTCTAGCCCTGAGTGAAACATGCGGTGGGACAATAGACAAGGGCAAGGACACTGGCTGAGGGTAGTCGAGTTGATGCTTTCAAGTTTCTAGGTAACACAGGGTTGTCAACAATCTCAGATCCCGTTATGCGACAGTCACGAAACTGGTGGCCAAGGGTGGTACTATTACAAAAGTCTGTTTTGGGAGGACTGTGTTGTTGCTCGTGACGCCTGCAAAATATGGGATACGGGGCTCTATCCGACCGCCTCTTAAGAGAATACTGTATGTGGTTTCAATTATTGTAATGTATCCCAGCTAATAAGTACGAAACACTATCAAACTTAAATCCCTGTTTGCGTACCGTATTGTGTGTAAAGCTTCATTTGGGAAGAATTTTTGTTTACTAAAGCTGATTGTAGTTTAGTTAATGAATTTATTTATTTCCAGGATCTATTGTTCTGTCCAGACTTCACGGTTGCTGCAAATAAAAAATCAGGCCCAGTGAGTATTTTTTACCCTCTTTTAACAAGTAGGCTAATCTTAGATTAAATTACAACGATCATCCAGTTACATCGAATGTCATGGTATTACTAGGAAGTAAGAAGTAGGTCCAGGGGCCCAAATTGATTATTTATTTTTTTAGAGCAGTCAATTGCTTATTGCTTTTACATAAGATGTTTATGTGCAATAAAACACTATGAGGACTCTTAAAGCATTTTTTACTAACACTGTATATATGATGTCTGGTCAAAAAGTATCCGACCTTACATTTTATCTAGTAAAACAACAAACACATTGAGCTGCACCCTGGCGCATAGATCGAGGCAACTGTAATGCACCTCATGTGACCTTGAAATGGTGTCAGTTTGTTGTCGGACACAAAAAAAATGTGAAACTAGGTACTTAGTGTTTGTAGCTTTTTTGTGCTAAACAAAATGACAGAACAGTCGGAACAGCGATAGGCCTACTGCATTAAATTTGGCCTAAAACTGGGTGATACCCAACTACAAATGATTCTTAAGATTCAGCAAGCCTTTGGAGAAGACACTATGGGTGTAACAAAGATAAAAAAGTGGTACAATAGATTCAAAGATGGCCCCACTTTGGTGGACATTGAACCTCGTTCTGGGAGACCATCAACAAGTTTAAACGATCAAGTTTGAGTTGTATTGATGGAGGATCGATATAGCCTAATAGGCCTACTCTGTTCGTGAACTTGCGTTTGTACGGGAATGATACCAAAACCAAGGCACAGACATCCTAGTGGAAACACTCAACATCCCCACGGCCAAAAAAAGCAAGTTCAAAGCAACATACTGTCCGCAAGAGTAAAGAAGTCCCCTGAGCTCTGGCCTATTGGTAATTTGAAGGCGTTACACTTGAACGTTTTGCGCGACAATTAGAGCCGTCTTCACTGTACTCTGCTAGTTGTTAGGCTTTATTTTTTGTAGGTAATAGCTGTATGATTTTTATAAATATATATTGTAATATTTTTTGCATAGACATACAATCGAAGGAAACCCATTTTCTAGTGTCACTAAGGCAAATCAATTACCTTTCTACTTTATGGTTTTTGTTTAGTTAAATGTAACAATTTATATATCTATATATATATGATACGCTGAGCCAAATTTTGTGAACAGAACTCCTTCCTCATTTATGAACCTATTTTGATGATTAAAGTGTCAAAAAAATAGCCCTGATCGGTAGTTTTGCAAAGTGGTTTTCATTTTTTGAAATCTGAATTATATTTGGGCATGATCTTCCATCAAAGTTGGGTTTTCTCCCATAAGATTGACATGGGGGAATCAAAGTATTTAATTGGAATTTTCGTCTCCACTAATTTGGGAGAACGGCTGGGCGTAGAAACTTGGTAGAGGTGTCCAGAGAAAGGTCTCGGTCTGTATACTGCCCCTGACAGTTATAGAATAAAAGCCAGGTTCACTGTTCACTACAAGTATATTCCACTACACCTAACATTCCGAAGAGAGATTATATTGAAAAATATATGTAATTGATAAGGCTTACACAACTGACATCCGCATGTCTTGCGATTCCAGATTTAACAGTAACCCAGCTACCAATTTATCAAAACAGGGTTATTCATTTGCACAGAAGTACGGTATGATGACCGACGTGACGAAGGAAAAAATAAAACTTACATAGCTTTATGGTGGGCCTCCGTTTGGATTAAGAACGTGCCTTCTCAACAAACAGATGTTTTTCTAAAAAAAAGCATAGATTTAATCTGCATAACATTCATGAAATCGTGGAAGTGTTTACCACAAAAGATCCACCAAAACATTTTTTTTTAATATTTAAAGGTTCCTCCAAAAGCATTCTTCATATCCTATACTCTAATACGAGCAATGTTTGCTTGTATGTATGTATGCTTGCACCAAGATCTCGAAAACGGCTCCGACGATTTTCTTCAAATGTTGTAAATAGTTTATTTTTGGCCTAAAAACGAGTTTACTGCAGTTAGAACTGCCAACAAAAATCTAATTACGTAGAAAAATGAAACTGAAAGTCACATTTTTTTAACATTAGTCTTATGGGTTGCTAAGTAACCATGTTGGTTGTATTGAATAACAAGGAAAAAGTAAACAAAAGACTTGTAAGTAGTCTATCAACAGTATACTAGCAATTACAAAATACAGTACAAAAGAAAAAACATCAGTTGTTACTATTGAGCAAAGATTATACTGAAGATTACTCGGTACATTGTAGCAGGGCTTTTTATCTATGATTGTAATAAAGACTAGAAGTGTGGAGTGTGGGAACTGTTTATAACGATTAGATTAAGGTATCTGCAATCCTAAAATGCTATGGGATTGGAGGGAAAGAGGTTCACGACGTAGGAAGTGGTGAAGGAAGTAGTAAAAACGAGCTGTCCGGAGTGTGGGAAGTATTAATGACGAATAGATTAATGTATCTACAATCCTAAAATGCTAAGGGAAGGGAGGGAAACAGGTCCACGACGTAGAAAGTGGAGAAGGAAGTAGTAAAAGTGAGCATTCCAAGTGTGTGAACTGTTAATGACGATTAGATTAATGTATCTGCAATCCCAAAATTTCATGGGAAGGGAGGAAAACAGGTCCGTAACGTAGGAAGTGGTGAAGGAAATAGTAAAGGCGAGCAGTCTGGAGTGTGGGAACTGTTTATGACGAAGAGTTTAAGGTATCTGCAATTCTAAAATGCTATGGGAAGGGAGGAAAACAGGTCCGCGACGTAGGAAGTAGTGAATGAAGTAGTAAAGGCAAGCAGCTCGGAGTGTTGGAACTGTTTATTACGATTATATAAAGGTATCTGTAATCCTAAAATGCCGTGGGAAGGGAGGTAAACGGGTCCACAACATAGGAATGGGTAAAGGGAGTAGTAAAGGTGAGCAGTCCGGAGTGTGGGAACTGTTAATGACAATTACATTAAGGTATATGCAATCTTAAAATGCAATTGGAAGGGAGGGAAAGAGGTCCGCGACGTAGGAAGTGGTGAAGGAAGTAGTAAATTCAAGTACGGCAGTCCGGAGTGTGGGAACTGTTTATGACGATTAGATTAAGGAAGCTATAATCCTAAAATGCAATGGGAAGGGAGGGAAACAGGTCCGCGTCGAAGGAACTGGTGAAGGAAGTAGTAACGGCAAGCAGTCCGGAGTGTGGAAACTGTTAATGACGATTAGATTAGGGTATCTACAATCCTAAAATGCTATGAGAAGGGAGGAAAACAGGTCCATGATGAAGGAAGTAGTAAGGCTAGCAGTGCAGAGTGTGGGAACTGTCTGTGGCATTTATGTATCTGCAATTCTCAAGTGGTATAGGGAAGGAGGGCAAACAGGTCCACAACGTAGGGAGTGGTGAAGGAAGTAGTAAAGGTGAGCAGTGTAGAGTTTAGGAGTGGAGTAATGTATCTGCAATACTAAACTGCTTTCAGAGTAAACTAATGATTTTCCCCGAGCAAAGCTCAGTCCCCAGGTACTATTCTTCTAAAAGAACAGAAACCAGTTAACATATAACAATAACTCCTATGACGTATGACGTATTGTATAAGAAATATGTTATTCATTGAATGATCAACCATATTTTTGTAACTAACCCAATAGACAATATTGTTTTTACACTTTTTTATTACCCATTAAACAATGCTAAATGCTCAATTTTTTGTCGTCATAACACTGTCTAATTAAATCCCTCTCTCCACTATGTATAGTAGCACCACTTTTCTTTAAATCCATAGCTACAAGGACCTTAAAAAAAAAACAAATTCACTACGCGAACACACGAGACTGCACTGAATAATAGGACGTGACCACATTATGATAATCCACTTACCAAAACAAAGATATGAGTAATTATGTTTACAACAGTTGTTTACAGACAGACATCGAGGCGAGGCGCCCAGATGCTTAGCGCCTGCAAATAGTGCGCGATAACCTCCAAACATAGCTGCGTATCGCTCTGGCTCAAGGGACTTCTTTACTCTCGCGGACAGTAAAAGTCATGCTGATTTTTTTAAATGTAATGGGGTAGTTTATCAAGAGTTTGCACCTGAGGGACATAATCTCACTAAAGAGTACTGCAAGTCTTACACCGCATGCACAATGCATTGTGTCGCAAGCGCCCCGATTTGTGGCCACAAACTCTTGGTGGCTTCATCAGGACAATGCTCCAGAGCATTCTTCCAATATTGTTCAAGGGTTCTTGGCAAAACATGGCTTTCCTGTGCCATGCCCAGGCCCCCTACTCACCGGATATGGCACCGTATGACTTCTGACTGTTCCCTATCTTGAAAATGCCGCTTAAAGGGACCCGATTTTAGAGCAGAAATGAGATAATGCAAAATGTGACAGCTCTTCTGAAGTCCATTAAGAAGAAAGAGTTCCAGGATTGTTTCCAAAAGTAGTAGGAGCGCTGGAATAAGTGTGTAAAGTCCCAAGGAGACTCTTTGGAATGAGATAAGATGTTAAAACAAATTGATCAACATGCTCGGATACTTTTTAAACAGACCGATGTGTTTGTGTACTTACTATACCACGTCAATTATAACATAGCCCCGGACAACTAGTTTTGAAACATCAGTTAAATTTTTAAACCTCTTGTCTGCACTCACAAACGTGGAGTTATTGTGTACATAAACATTTGCACGGCCAGCCATAACACAATTATGGACACGACACAACTCAAGTGTAACTGCAGGAGAAAATAATGTCTCCAAGACTATGGGAGATGTGGTGCACGATTTTACTGTGATCATGGAGAATAATGATGGCTAATAATCATGATTTTGCTGCTATATTTGCAATATTTACGGTTTTTCCATTAGCCATTTATTAATCTGGCAATTTCACTAACTGGTTACTTTGTAACAAGTTTGGTCTGTGTTTGTAGGACAAGGCTGAGGACCTGCAGGCCATTGACAGTTGTGAGTACATTTGGGAGGCAGGGGTTGGGTTTGCACATTCTCCGCCTCACTACCCCCTCCATGACTCTGCTCGCACTGAGCTACTCAAACTGTTGCTTACCTGCTTCAGTGAGACAATGTATCAACCTCCTGTAGGTGAGTGGAGAGCAAGGCTACTGAAAAAGAGGTTGCCTCAGTTGCACATATGACGTTAGTGCTGCTTTTAAATTCACATAGCTGCCAGCTGTCAAGTTCATTGTTATTGTTGTTTGTTTTTCATTTATTTATTTTCACAGAACTTACAAAAAAAAAAAAAAAAAAACAACAATAACAAGTGGAAGCTAGTAGTAAATTAGTAAATAAACCAGAAGCACATTTTCAGTTATCAATTTAATCTTATTTTGTTTTGTCCATTTAACGATTTGCTGGTAGGTAATTCAATACCTTTGTTTTGTTTTTGGTGGCAAAAGATTAGCACAAACAGTTTGTGCTCTCATTTTCATCTCGTGAACTTCACTTTCACTAACTGACATTTTTAAATCAGTTTAATCTACCTTCCTTTAACTTCCACCAACTTAGGTTAAGAATACGCGAGTATCAACAGGAACAAGTCGGATTAACAATTAAAATTGTCAACTGATCAGCTGATCAGCTGATTAGTTGACGTTCAAAGCATTTTACAATTGAACTTCTTTTCTCTCAATCCTTAAACCTCTTTGGTCCGTTACCCGTGTTGTTATGAGAAAAACTATGCTGTTATGAAATTAAACTATTAGTGATGATCAAAACCAGAAATTTCGAATCTCAAAACCGAAACCAAAACTTTTAAAAATCGAATCCCGAATCTCAAAACCTTAACGCGAAACTTTTTTACTTAGCTGGTTACATAGGTCAAGGTTACAAATATAGGTAATAATAAAATGTTAAGTATGCAATCAAAACTGAAAGAGATCTACTCCTGACACTGACATAACATAAATATTTATCTGATAATCTTAAACTTAAATACAACATTTTTTTATAAACAACCAACATTAAAATAAATTAAACCCCTAACACCAACATAAACATAAATATTAGATTAATTAGAACATTTAGTAGTCAATATTTCTCTGTGTTATGAAATATTGATGTGAAACTGAATTGTACGTCGTTCGAGTTATAGTATTTAAGATGCCTTTTGAAGTTCAGAATACAATTTACTTGTTTCATTACTTTTGATGGTGATATGTATGCTCTATTGCTACGGACTTGTGTGGAAACAGTGTTATTTACAATAATAATGACACAAAAAATGTCAGCAGTTTTAAAAATAAAACTGCCAAACTCTTGAATTTTGAAACTTTTGAATCTCGAAACTTGGTGATCGAATCTCGAAACCGAAACTTTTCCAAAGTTTTGATGGTTTTGAGATTCGGTTTTGACACATCACTAGAAACTATGCTGTTATGAAAGTAAACAGCTGTTAAGTGAAAATTTTCAATTCTAAGAACTGAACTGAAATGGCTAATTTAAAAAACGGTTGTAGGTAAAGTTATTTATCAACACAAAGATAACCATTACATCTAAAGCTTAAATAGCAGTAACTTGTGTCACGTCAATTAATAATATAGTCTATTTTCATATAAATACTTGCAATAAATACTTAATCTACTCAGATTATTAGGGAAAAACCTTAACTACTTTATGAAATACTTTGCAACCAACAATTTATAATTGGCTTTTAACGAAGAATAAAAATTCTCAGACAACTTCCTGTCTTCCAAGGCTATTTCTCATTACAGCACAAATAAAAAGGGGGCCTGAAGGCAGAGCCCCCAGCGAGCACAAGGTGAATCTGTTTTTAATCTGTGGTGCACTAAAAAGTCTGTACAGTATTGTTCCGGCCAAATTACTGCCATCGGTTCAATACTGTATTTTCCTCAGTACAAATTCGGTTCAGTACAGCCTACAATAATTAGTAACTTTCAATCCACTATGGTAGACAAAAAGTAGGTAGTTTTTCTCAACTCAACAGTAAAACTCATGAGACAAGCAAGATTTCACAATGGATTTACTTAGTTGCCACACAATGTAAGCAGACGGCAAGCACACTCATTACAGTAGACTCCCTCTTATCCGGACACCTTTTAACCCGACATCGGTTTAACCGGACTACACTCGGTAGAAATGATATCTCTTTAACCGGACAATTTTTATCAGCGCATCGGTTTAACAGGAATAGATCGGCAGGAAGTGGGCGGTACTGAAACGACTGTTCTCGTGGAAAAGATTTGAGACCAGTGGTCACGTGTCTAAATACGTAATAATCATTATTGGCTTATACAATATGCTTAAACGGTCCGTTTTAACGAGTTTTTGGGGACGTCGGTTTAATTGGAAAAACTGTTATCCGGGCTGGCCTCGGTCCCGAGGAGTCCGGATAAGAGGGAGTCTATACTTCTTCTTCTCTTCTCTCAGGGCTATGCATATCTAAGAAGATATTTGGCCACACCAACAAAGCCTCTCCATCTTGCTCTATCCTCTGCATCCTCCTCAGTTGCTCCTAGTTGCTCCATGTCTTTCTTTAATTGGCTCCACCATTTTTGTTTTGGCCTTCCTCTCGGTCGTCTTCCTTCGGGATTTCTTAGTAAAACTAATTTGAACTGATTTTGCTCCTCTCTTCGTAAAACATGTCCAGCCCATCTAACTCTTCGACACTAAAATTCACACACCACATCTGGATCTCTGTAGAGTTCTCTCAGTTCTCTGTTGTGTCTCTTCCTCCATCCACCACCTTCATAAATTGGTCCATAAATTTTTCTTAAAATCTTATTTTTGAATGTGATTAACTTCTTTTCTTCTTTTTTATTTGGTTTCCATGTTTCAGCTCCGTATAATAATACTGGGCTGATTATTGTCTTATAAATTCTAACTTTGGTGTTTTTGACAGTAACTTAGAGGACATCAGTCTGTTGCAAGCGTAGAAACATCTGTTTGCCAGATTTAGTCTATTTTGAATTTCTATTTCTTCTTTATTTTCCCTGGATAAGATAACCCCTAGGTACTTAAAATGTTCTACTTTTTCAAATTTATGGTCATCTACCTGCAGTGGGTCTTGGTCTATACCTTGATTTCTTGAAAATTGCATATATTTGGTTTTCCCATAATTTACTTTTAGTCCTAATTGTCTTGTTTGTTTTGTCCATAAATACTTTTGTTAGTTGGCGTAGGTCCTCTAAAGTTTTTTGCAAAAATGACGACATCGTCTGCAAACGCTAATATGTTAATTCTGGAGCCAATTGAAATTCCCTTATCTATTGTTGCCACTTCTTGTAGAGCTTCTTCTATTGCTAGGTTGAAGAGGATTGGGGAGAGCCCATCCCCTTGCCTTACCCCTGCATTTACTGTAAAGGGCTCCGAGACTCTCCCATTTACTTTTACTGTACATGTGGAATTCGCTACAGTTGTTCTAGCAAGGTTTATAAGTTTGGTTGGGATTCCAAATTTGTCCATCTTTTTCCACAGTTTCTCTCTATTTATGCTATCATACGCTTTTTGGAAATCAATAAATATTGCAAAAAAACTCCCTATTAAACTCCCAATACTTTGATATGACTTCTTTAAGGATAAATATTTGATTCATTGTGGACCTGCCTTTCATGAAACCAGCCTGATGATCTAGGATTAGTTCATTTGTATATTCTTCGATCCGATTTAATACTATCTTTGATAAAACTATGTACGGTATGCTAAGGAGTGATATGCCTCTAAAATTACTACATTCTTCTTTCTCTCCTTTCTTGTGAATGGGGACTACTATTGCTTCCCTCCATTCTTCTGGAATTTCTTCTCTCTCCCAGATTATTTTAATCAGTTCCCAAAGCTTTCCTATTACTACTCCCCCTCCCTTCTTCAGTATTTCTGCTGTTATCCCATCTCTGCCTGGGACTTTATTGCTCTTTAGAGCTTTGACTGCTGCTTCAACTTCTTCTCTGGTTGGTGCCTCAACCTTTGGTTGAACGTGATAGTATACGTCATCGTTATCTTCTTCTGATGCAAAGTCCACACCATCTACATTTAGTAAGTCGCAGAAATATTCTCTCCATCTTTCTATAACCCGTTGGGTTTCTGTAACAACAATGCCTTCTTTGTTTTTCACTCCATAAGGGTTTGGAGTGTAACCTTTTTTGAAAAAAGAGGGAGTCTATACTGTATAAGCCAAAAGTTATTTTTTTAATGGGTTATCAAAGTAATATAAATACTTTCAAAGTATTACTATGAATGTTATTTTATTACATTTCCTTGCTCTTTTTTGTTATTTTAGTTTATATGTGAACATGTCTCGTTAGTTACGGTTGTATATGTAATGTACAGACCTACACACAGCGCCCAACAAGTGGATACAATACTTGACGTCAGCGGAGAACCGTCATGCACTGCCGATGTTCACTTCGCTGCTCAACACTGTGTGTGCCTACGACCCTGTGGGCCTTGGTGTACCTTACAACCATCTGCTGTTCTCAGACGCACGTGAGCCTCTGGTGGACACTGCACTGCAGATACTCATAGTGACACTGGACCACGACACCAGCCAGGGTGATGATGTGAGTAGCTAAGGTTGCCTGCTACATATTTTTTCAAGGCCAATCCGGTTTCTTGTTCTAGAGGTCAGGCAAAAGGCCTTCTCATTTAAGTTTTAGTTGAAGATTCTTTAAAACACATTTTCGGTCTGTAACATTTTATTGTGCTCAATTCAATTCAATTATTGAGATGGGGGTGCCACCCAGGTGTGTATTTCAACTCAAATATGAGTGAATGATGAGTGTAGAATGGAGTGAGATGATCTGTGTAGCTTTGTTATTGTTACTGACTAAGACCAGCTGTTAGGAACATTAGCCAGGAACATTTATGAAAAGCCCAATGATCAAGGACAGCTGGGTCCAGTATCAAACAATTAAAAAGTTTCATACTTTTCTCAGGATCGAACCGGCGACCATATGTTCTTTCTTAGATAACTAGGCTGGCACTATAAGCACTGAGCTACCCAGCTAGTATAATATGTGATGTAAAAAGCGAAAGGGACCTCTTGTCGGTGGTGCAAAATTTAAAAGTGCGGCCAATATAAGTAAAAGGTTCCAAACGAGGACGTTATACGCTTTCTTCTGATACCAAAATCGTTTTGTAAATAGGTATGAAAAAACTGTTTTTATGCGTATTTGAAATTTTCAAAATAGTTTTTCTCAAAATGACCCTTTTCCATAGTAAAATTTCAAAGTCCTATAACTTAAAAAAAAAAACAAAAAAAAAAACTTAGATGCATGGGACTTGCATCAAGTAATTTGGAATTTAATAAGGAATTCAAATATACATATATATATACAAAATTGAATCTGTATATATATAAAATCTGTTTTGTATATAACTCAAAATCGAAAATTCTCGACAAGAGGTACCTATTTGCTTTCCACATCCTATATGTTGATGAAGTAATACATATTATCACATCTAAATAACAGTAACAGCTGTTTGAGAACGTTGCCTCATACCTCTGTAGGTACCCATGATATTAGCATTAGGTACATCTGTGATGATATGAGTAGACCAACCACATTCTATGTACTATTCATAGTATATTCATAGTACGATGTGCTACAGCCTATTATAGAAACTACACTGCAGATACTTGAAGTAAGGTTTGTTTTCGTGGTACATTGCACAATCGTCACTTCTTAGTGTGTGATGAGCTACTGGGACAATTCTATCCAGGACTTCATTAGCGTCAGCCTTTTTGGTGCAGTATGATTATTGTTTGAATTCTATGTCTATTTGCAGACTACAGCACCAGACAATCTGTTCATCAATTACCTGTCCCGTATACATCGTGATGAGGACTTTGCTTTTGTTCTCCGAGGCTTCACTCGTCTTCTCAACAATCCTTTGGTCCAGACCTACCTACCAAACTCTACCAAGAAAGTGCAGTTTCATCAAGAGTTGTTAGTGTTCTTCTGGAAAATGTGTGATTATAACAAAGTAAGTCCTAACACGGTTATGAACATTTCATTTAAATTAAAATCCTTTACATGTTGATGTACTAAGCTGATGTTCCACTGTACCAATCGAGGAGTGTGTCGGTTTTTGTACCTTGGTGCTAGACCAATAATTGATTGTCCAATGTCAATACCAGATGAACCGACCAATTGGCGCCACAATCTAACAATGACAAACCAATTGAAAAACCACAAAAAACTAAACCTAAAAATAGTTTGTTTAGCTTTTTGAACGTGATGTGTGTAATACAATACACCATCAGACAAAAATAAATGGAACAAAGACTTGTTTTTATTTTCATAGAATAGAATATAAAATACTAGCAGTGTACCCGTTCTTCGTACGGGGTTGGCGTATAAAATGCTTATTGCAGTTGTACTCTAGCTTTGCGTTTGCAATGGGGGAGGATAAGGCTTGAGAGAATTTTGTTCTTTATATTTACGGTATGCTAAAGTAGAGTGTAGTATTACTCATCTACCATAGCCATTCTGTTTTACCACTGCACCTAATCATTATAAAAAAGTAAATTATCAAACATTCACAAAATATCAATTATTAGGTATTTAATTAAAACATAAACATTACTGTAAACAATCCTACTTTGACAGTTCTCATTACAGCTTTTTGATGCTGCTTACTTCAAATTAGCTGTTATCATAATTGCAAAAAATATAATAGTGCACTCTGTTGGTAAACCTTTTAACTTTTTAATGCTATTGAATATCATAGAACCAACTTGTTTGGTCGAATCAGCTGACAATAGTTATTTGTGTAACTATTGGGAAAAGTGGCACTTTGCTGCACACGAGAGCAATGTTTACCTTTGTTGTTGTTAGGTTCAGCTGACAACACAAATAGGTGTCCTAGAGAAAGTAGTACGCGGTCCGTATCACTCCGCTATTTTTCCTCGGCAAGAAATGTGCTCCGCGTTTTGAGAATATAGTTCCGTTTTTTTTTTTGTAATTTTAAGTGGTTTCCGCGCCTAAAAAAAATGCTTTAAAGGTATTTTCTTGTTTATTAAGATCGTAGGAATGTTTTAAAAACGTTTAAAAGAAAAGTCCAGAAAGTTCAGAAATACCGAAACTATAAACACAAAATGACAGGTTAAATCGTAGTTATAATAGTCAATCAGCTGCTCATAGTATTATTATCTTTAAGTATTGCCAACCTATTTCCAAGCGTACACGGATTACATGCATAATAGAACCACGCTGTTTTGTGTTGTTTTGTTGGAATCCTGATGTGGGGCAAAGTATAAACCGTACGACAAAGTATAAACCTACGGCAAAGTATAAATATGCAGCAATTAGCAGCTTTCTGTACTATAAACAGTACAAGGAAGCCAACTTTGTCGGGTGACTGTAGGAAAAATTATTTAATTCTTTTTAAATGTGAATACCCATAACGTTAACATAGGAAACTCCAGAGCCACTGGGGCTGAGCCTGAAAGGAGTTTTCACATAACAATATGCCTATATGTAAATCGAGAGTGTGAGCTATCATTACCCCAAATTTCAGCCCAATCCGACCAGTATTTTTCGCGTTTACTTGTCACAAACATCCATTCATACATCCAAACTTTCTCATCTATAAGTATAAAAGAGGATGTTTGTATATATATTTGGCAGTGATAAACTCAGACACCGCCGAACCGATTGCCACGAAACTTGGTACATACGTGTAGAATTTCATGGAATATGTTTATACACCATCAATTTCGTGATCCGTCCAATCGGCTCCGCCCCAGTGGCTCTGGAGTTTCCCATGTTAACCTTATGAGAAATTGAATTAATGAATCTTAACAGCTGTTTCAATTAAACAAGTTGGTTCTGTTCTATGATGTTCAATAGCATTTAAGTTACAAGGATTACCAACAGGGTGCATCACTATTATTTATTTTACATTTATGACAACAGCTAATTTGCAACCAAAAGGTGAGTGAGCATAGCGAACGAACTTCAACCTGGAGGCGAGTTAGCGTAGTGAACGAGCTAACCTGAAGGCAAGTGAGCGCAGCGAACGAGCTCCAACCTAAATGTGAGTGAGCTTAGCGAACGAGCTCCAAGCTAAAGGGGAGTGAGCGTAGCGAACGAACTTCAACCAGGACGTGATTGAGCCATGCGAACGAGATCATCTTGAAAATAACCACCATTGTCATTAATAACCATGAATGAAAATAACCATTAATAATTAAGCTAGCATAACCTAGGATTAATATAAGAGCAATAATAAAGAATCGGTTATCTTTTGTACTATATGTGTTTCATTAGTTGTCGTACGTATTTTAATTTAGTTATAAGCACTTCATATACAATAAGACAATTAAATGTTACGGTACTTAAATTATAAATAGTCAAAGGCAAGACAACGTCTGCCGGGTTCAGCTAGTTTATAGTATTAGTAGGATTAGTAGGACTGAAAAACTTATGAACTTAGTATTTTTTCACACTAAAGCAGATTGGTGTACAGAAAAAGTGTAACTTTATATTTTTAGATAAATACCTGACAAACCCATATATTGATGGCTAGATTTTTAAATTAATTTAAATTTTCTATGAAATAAACATCTATAATATTAAAACGTGATAGGGTTTTTTTATTTCACGATTCTGAATCAACCACTTGACGTATTTTCATGATTTTTGTGTTGAAAGAAAGATAATTTTTAAGAACTAGGGAATGTCGAAGCCATAATTATAGGTTAGGGTTTCAGTTTTTTTGAAATTAATTTTTAAATTTTAAAAAGTCTAGCAGCAGACGCTAACATTCTACTCTAACTTTTGGTATAGTAACAGCTGTAAACATTCCGCGTTTTTCGACACAAATTCAGCTTTTGGATGAAAATGAAATGACCAAATGACATACGTAGAATTGCCTTTTCTATACTATGTGTAATGCTATAACCATTGATACGTTTATTATATCGCTAAGAGGATGAGAGTTTATTTAAATATACAAAGTAAAATAATAGATGTTCTAATTTATTTTTTTTGATCAGTCTTTAAAATATTTAGTTTGTTTTAGTGAAATATAATCTATCTATACTATTTTAAAGAAGAGTTGGTGTCTGTGTGTGAGTCTGTGTGTGTGTCTGTGTGTTTGTATGAGATAATCTCAAAAACTACTGAACCGACTGGGCTCAAATTGCACACAACTGAAGCTACAGCTCCGAGGATACATAATATAGAACTATTCCCGCTTCGATATTGTCCTAGGGCTCTGCCTCGTGGGCTTTCAAAAATTTGAGGTGAGAGATTTAAAAGTATTGATTGATGGTATCCATGGTAACAAAGAACAAACCTACAAAGTTTAAAAATGTAAACAAGCAGAACTCACAAACTGTCAAATGAATTTTGATTTCACAATGCCACACAGCTGGTTCAAACATATTAAAAATACTGCACGAATATTAGAACAGAGAGGGCAAGGATTATAAATTTAAAATAATGATGTCACTAGCCCAGGGCCGGATTTCCCAATAGGCCCGGTAGGCCCGGGCCTATGGGCGCAAGCTCCCAGAGGGCGCAAGGCCGAGAGAATTTTTTGTATATCTAAAAATAAAAATAAATAGTCATAGTTGATTTAAAAAAAAAAAAAAAAAACTCTGCTCGCTAATACAGCATTCTGATTCTGAAGTTGATGAAAAGAAATAATTGTTAGAAGATTTAAACTTTTTTCTGAACTACGCATCAATTTCATTACAACATTAGTACGGGAGGCTGTAGGGATGTTGACGAGCGCCCGAGCTGTACTGTACGCATCGTATTGCCACTATGTTGGCTCGGTGCTACTGATTGATCGGAGTAATTAGGGGCGCATGCGTGCTAGACACTGTTACCACCAAACACTCAAAACAAATAACTCACAAAACAAAAGTTATTGACTAATCTTTTGATTAGTTTACAAAAATCTGCAGGATCAAGTTAAAATATATAATACGTCGTGTTGAATATTTAAAAAAATGATTAATTTATCTTTAAAATTAACGAAAAAAATATTAATTTTAGTTTGCAACAGGTTTTTGACTAATTCAATACCCCCCAAAGCACCATTAATGCTGTAATTTTCTCCTCAGACCTAAGGATCGGTATGGTTGGCCGGAATATGTTTGGCTCTGTATTGCTTTGGAAATCTATAACCTAGATGCAGTACCAACATAGATTAAATATAACTCAAGTCGACTTCCTATCACTTTGTTAATTCAAATTCTTTTTCGTGTGTAGTTCACGTTGGTGACACTGGACGATAGTTTTGACGTACGGTACTTTTGTTTCTATTATTTTTAGGTTAGTTCTATGATTTGTTTTAATTTCTTGTAATATAACTAGGAGACGACCTATTGTTTATGATTATATCGTTTTATTTAGTATAAACTAAGTTTATATAACAAGAATTGTTTTCAGCTAATCCATAATGATGACGAATCTACTAAAGGAGTATGTTTCATCTATGGTATCACGTACTGTATGGAGTTCATGTTTTTGGGCCTGAAATTGGAATCAATTATCAATGGCCATGTTTTTTGCAAGAATGCTCAGTGGATTGAGTTGTTTTGTTTCAGTCCCACAAACATGAGCATTTACTAAAAGCATACGATTGCTAAAAGTGTTTAACACGGCATTTTGTTAAGGCTAAATGGGTCAATTCTTCAAAAAACTTGCAATGACAAAATTCCGAAAAGGAGTGGTATTCAAGCAATTCACTTAGGCCTATGAACATGATAACTTTGACCAGACTAGGGGGCGGAAAATTATTTGGGCCTAGGGGCGCCTAAATGCTAAATCCGGCCCTGCACTAGCCCTATTGTAAACATTATTTAACATTACTTAAATGGAGCTGTCAAACCATATGTTATTGTAATTTTATAAGTATATGATTCTTTCAGTTACTTCATTTGTTTATGTTTATGATCTATTATACTGAGTCTGTTCTAATATTTGTGAAGTGCTGTAATAATGTTTTACTGGGAAAAATTTGTTGTA